CCCAGCCTCAACCCCGACGGCTTCGAGCGGGCCCGCGAGGGCGACTGCGACGGCACGGCCCCGGGCGGCCGCGAGAACGGCCGCGGCAAGGACCTGAACCGCAGCTTCCCCGACCAGTTCGGGGCGGCCCAGCCCGACCTGGAGCCCGTGCCCGAGGTGCGGGCCCTGATCGCCTGGATGCAGCGCAACAAGTGAGTGGGGGGAGCCCCTCGGCCAGGGGGAACCGGGGGGAGCCCCTCGGCCAGGGGGAACCGGGGGGAGCCCCTCGGAGGGGGGGACTGAAGGTGCTTTGTCTGTATGTGACGCTTTGGTGTGGCTGAGGAGGGGTCTGGATCCAAGGGGCGAGGACCGCGGGCTCCTAGCCAGTAGATCCCGTCTGGGCTTTGGGAGCTGGGGATGACTGTGGGGAGGGGGGTTGTTGGGGTGAGGGCTGGAGGTACGTAGCGGGACTAATGGTCAAGCCATTGTAATACATTTTCCTTACCTTGAAGTCTCCTGTGGTTCTGTCTGCATTGTACCAGTTCCCTTTAGCTCCCTTTGTGCTGTAATCCGCGGCTGCTGGGGCGTCTAGCTGCTTGGCTCTAACTTATGTGCTGGCTTGTTTAGCAGACCTCTTATGAATGGAACAGTGGAGCATTTTATTGGTTAACTACACAAAGGCCCACGTGCACCTGGCAGAGAAACCATGTTGGTTTCTTTATGGACAACTGCACTTAAGGGACCACTAGCAATGTTGTTTTCCTGGCTAATCAAACAAGGCAATAGTAACTTAAACTATTCATGTTGTCAGGTTTCAGAGTGGTAACTATGTTTGTCTGTATCAGTAAAAAGAACGAGAAGTACTTGAGACACCTTAGAGACTAACAAATTTATTTGGGCATAAGCTTTCGTGGGCTAAAACCCATTTGCATGTATCTGATGAAGTGGGCTGTAGCCCCCGAAAGCTTATGCCCAAATAAATTTGTTAGTTTCTAAGGTGCCACAAGTTCTCCTATTCTTTTGTTCATGTTGACTCCTTCTTCACAGCAAGCTAAATGAGCTCTCAGTAACGGATAGACTTATTTTCTGGATGTACTTCACCTCAAGACCATTGGTGACCTTTGCTTGTGGCCCTGTATTGTTAACTCGCCTCTGATTAGCTGTCTGATCTTTAGTAATATGAACCAAATGTGTTGCTTAATACCTACTGGTGCTCAAATACTGAGGTCTGGCATGAACTGTGGTAGGTAGAGCATCCACCTTTCCTCCACCATAATAAATTTTCCCCACATTGCTTCTTGCTGTTGTTGCATAGAGAATTATTGCTGAATGTTTCTAGATGTAGGTCTTGATCCCGCAAATGTTTATGCATGTCAGTAGTTCTATTGAGTGTGTGTGGGCCACGCTTGCTGAACTTTACTGTCAGCTCTGATGTATTGATAGATTCATTTTGTGCTGCAGCATAAGCCCCAAATTTGCTCTTGCTCAAAATTATGTAGTGGGGAAAATCCTCTGGGTTCCAAACATTATTAGTTTAAAAATAAATTAAAAAAAAAGTGTATTTTGGCAAACCACCGCTGACAAAAAAAGCTACTTTGTCAGCTCTATGCAGGAACAATCCAACACATGAAGCTCTCCTCTGGCTGGCAGCAGTAATAATGCTGTGCTAACTTCATCACTCATACCAAAATGAATGAGTAAACAAAGCCCTTTGTTTAAAAATCCCTAATGGCTGTAATGTTTGCTGTCTTATTAGATGACATTCACGTGATCTGATTCGCATCTGACAGCTTGTTTTCAAAAAAGCCCAGGCTTTGGTCATGTCAACTCTGCTTAATAACCCAAATACACACAGGCAAATAGCAAGGGTACAAACTGGAACTTTTTGTTATCATTTGTTATTCATAGATTCATATGATATATGATCTTATAATATTGTAGAAAAGCATCCTAAAAATGCAGGGACACTTAGACTGTCAGATGTATTGAGACCTTTACAGCTGCCTGTGACTAAACTAAGGAACAATGAGACATGGCGCTGCTGCGCTCTTGAGTTTTCTGACTTGCCTTAGAATTTGACACTGGTATTTACCTGCCTGTTCCTTACTGCAACATAAGCCTCTTAATCTTGCAAGGAAACCCTGCAATAAAACAGCTCAACTCAAACATTCTTCAAAGCTTAAAGAAAGCTGTCTGTCATCTGCTGTCCATGTGGACAACTAAATAGCAGTTGCCTGTGATGATCTGCTTGACTCTGCATTTTTGTGTCTTAGACGGGAAACAAGAAATCTAGTGTTACAGGAGATGCAACAGATGTTACGCTCAATTGAATGTCTCAGTTTAAAGTGAATGGAGCCCTGAGGTTAGTTATTGCAAAATTCTTTTGGCTTCTCGGATGCCCTCCCATTAGGTTCTGTTCAGAACCTTTTTACAGGGCTGCCTGCTGCTGAACTTTGCATAAGGAGATGAATTTTTTTCAGTATAAGTCGACGTGCTCAAAGTTCCTATCAGAGCAAGATAGACAATGGTCTAATGGCTGCGCTTGTAAGCTGTAAAGACAGTAGCTGCCATGGTGATGCATCAATGCCTAGGCAGCTGAGGAGAGTGAAGTCTTTTCTTTGAGAATATCAGTGTGTATGTTGCTTTGAAGTAATCCTGCTTTGAATTTTGCCTCATTTGCCATTCTAGCAGCAGACTGTAGTCCTGCGAGTCTGAGCTGAACCTCAAAGGAAGCAGTTTGTATGACAAACCACAAGCTAGGAGTAAATAAACTCCTTTTCAGATTAACAACATTTCACACACCCCCCCC